ACTGGGAAACTGAAAAACATTCTGGAAGAAGACAATGGCAGTCCACATCTATACTATTCTCAATAAATTGTATGGTTGTATCCATATAGCATCTTTATCTTTTGTGACAGATTGTCACAAACAATCTGTTTGAAGATTGTTTTGACAATGTTTGCTACCCTCCCAGCAATTATAAGTAGAAATAATCAGAGCACTGAGATTTGAAGTAGATATTTTGAGGAGCAAGAATCTAAGGAACTAAAAGTTGGACAGCTTGGAAAATAAGAATTGAACTCTGCATGCTATAAATTATGAGAAGGGTGATCTAATTAATGCACTAAAAGATCATATCTCTGATTTAAAAGAAGTAGTGTAGTTTGAGAACATATTGCCTACCTTCAAGTAGAGCATGTCAGTTAGAGAAAATCCTATTATAATGAAGTACTAAGTTAGATTACCATTCATGAACTCATTTATAACCAAATGTTGAGTCCACCCAATTTATTGTGGATCATATGTTAAAATTCAAGAAACATTTATAAAGGAATTTGAATATATTGCAATGAGTATCTTTTAGATGGAAAGAATTCCATGAATCAAAACCAAATATGAAACCTCCAATAAAATGTAACATAATTCCCTAGGAAGAGTATTCTTATTCAGGATTTTTACTAGTCAGCCATGAAGTTTTGCTTACTTCTTGTTTCTTAATGGCCCTATTTTTGATATTATCATTTTGGCATTCATTGCCAAAATTTGGAATAAGGATTATAACACTTAATTATTTAGAAGTGTAATTATTTGATTTATTTCAAATCGAAATATGTACCTATAAATCTGCTAAATCAAGTGGCCAGACTCCACAACTGGCCATTATGGTGAAGAATCTTACGAGTTACAGTCCAAACACATCTGAAGGGAACCATGCTGCCTAAGGCTGACTTAATGTATTCTGACCAAAATTGCAGTCTTATACACACTTACCTGGAAATACACACAACTGAACTGAGCAGGACTTATGGACATTGACATAACACCGTAAAGCAGATTGCTATTTTATTATTTTATTAAAACAAAACACATATATATTGCAAAAGTTAGATTGTAGGGGGAGAAGAAATATAAGCAGGAGAAGAAAATGAACTTGCATATTGTGATGCTCAATTACAGGCATACCTCATTTTATTGTGCTTAGTTTTATTGCGCTTCACAGATATTGTGTTTAACAAACAGCATTGCATGCTACAGAGAAATCTTTTATGAAAGGAAGAATCAATCGATGTGGCAAACTTCATTGTTTTATTTTAAGAATTTTTTAAATTAAGGTATGTACATTGTTTTTTTTAGACATAATGCTAC